TTCCATACGAATCTGTTTCATTTTCCAAAATATGTTGCTGGTGACAGGAGCTTACAAAGTCAATTGAAAATCCTTTCTTCAAGGTTTTTTAATAGTCTCTTAAATAACACAAAAAGTAAGTGAAGCCATATTAAATTACATGTTCCTGTCCGCCGATTAAGGTCACTTCCTGAATGAAGCATTTCTTTAAATAGTCTCATTGAGAGTACATCATCTAGGTCTTTGAAAAGTTTGGAAGCATTTCGTGACATCGAAATCATGCTTAATATGAAAATGTAATAAAATCTTTTATTTGTAAAAAAGATCGTTATTAGCCTTTAAAGGAATGCAATGCAAAGTATAATGAACTAATTAATTAAATTTTTATATTAGTTAAAAATTTTCACTTTTTAATTGTTAAATATTCAAAGCAGAGAATAAAAACAAAAAGAAAAAAAAAAAAACCAACTATATGTTCAGTTATAATAAATTTGCCGCATATAACAATGGAATAATTTTATGTTTATATTCAAGTTTTCGAAATTACTTAACTTACTTAAAGTTTTTTTTTTTTCATTAAATTTTTAACATCTACACATGCGCAACCTTTCATATAATTCGCACGTATATACTATAACACAATTTATGCGCATGCCCGCATTTATATATATATGTATATATATATATGTGCTCTTATGAGCCAGCCATGTGCACATTATAAAATGTTGACGTAGGTCTTGCCCAATTATAGCTGCTTATTCCGTATATTATTTAAATTACGATCAGTCTGGGATTTTTTCACTGTATTTATAATAATATCTCTCTCTTTATTTTTGATTACTTTATTGTTAAATCGGTGTGTTCGTTTGGTTTTCTCGTTGGTAATAATTGCTGTTAAGAGACAAATTTTTTTTTGTATTTTGACTTAATGCCAAGTTCTAAATAGCTTGAATAATATTTAACATTTAAAACACTTTTAAAATATCTCTTCGCTTTTTTAATCGTTGCTTGTTTTGTTTGTGTAAAATAACGAAAAGAAAAAATGGAATTTCGTGTGTAGCCTCACTAATATCACTGTAATGTTTAAATTAATGATTAGAAAGTGATGAAATTTTCACAAATTTCGTTTGAAGGTTGATACTATTTAAAAATAATATGGACTCGTCAATAGCCATTCAATATTTGTGTATTATCCTGCAAACTTATTGAGCGACATCTTTATTTAGTGATCAGTTAGTTTTATTTGATTAAAAATTACTAAGGATTACCAATGATTAATAAAAGCTCACGATTCATTAAGCGGAAGGGAGCATAAAATTGAACTTGAAATCTATGACTTAGAAAAGATGCCGTTAGCGGCGACCTACACCGAACTTCATTTTTAATAGCTTCATTTTTTCATCAATTGTAATGTATTTTGAGCTATTTTATTGAAATCTGCGACATTCAGTTCTTACAATTCATTGCAGAATGCTCTGCGAAAATATGGAAAATTCCTGGAACGGAGGAATAAAACAATAGCAGTCTATTCCATTGCATTCTCTTGTATTGCATTAGTGGGCCGAGTGGGGAAGCGGTAGCGACTAGCAAGTCAGTGTTCGTAGGTTCAAATCTCAAATGCGGCAGTGTGTACTACTTTGATTGTAGCTCTAGGTAGTGCTCAGTACTCGTAAGGGCAGTCGTAAAGGCATAAGAAGGCCGCGACGATTTCCACTAGATTGTGGCTGCTCTTTATCTTCTTCTGATCACACTATGTTACACGAATAGTGGACATCGTCTGAATGATTGGTCATATAGAAGAGAAAAAAAAAGAAGAAATTTAATTAATCGACCATAAAAATCATAATAACGTTCGTTATCGAACTCGAATTTTAGTGAAGAATTTTATTATGAAATAAACGATTCTGTTATGTTAAGATTAAAACGTCAAGGCAAGGCAAGGTTTGTCCACACAACCTATGTGTACTTCATTTACTTGATCTACGACCCTTCTATTTACATATGACTGGGCTTTTAAATGAATATAAAAAAGATTCTTTCACGTTGCAATATGTCTTCTGCGTAATAGAATCATTTCACCAAAAATTCTCACGACTTCTATAGATCGTCTTATATCGCTATCAAATAAGTTGAATGTTATCATTTTATATGCATACATATATTAAAGTCATACGTACACGTAATTTGAAAATTCCTGAAATATATATTTGATTAACTGTAACGCGAGAAAAATGTTAAATCGAAAGAAATCTATAAATATATTAAAAACTGGTTTTCATCTAATTTACATTCATTCAATTGAATTTTGAGGCCAAGTTCAATTGTTTACAAGAAAAATAAAGAAACAAAAAAAAAAATAAAAAAAAAATAAAAAAAAAATAAAGAAATAAATAAATAAATATTTGAAAACATTTAATTTAATTAATATTCAATATTGATAATGTTTACATTAGAGACAACAAGAATAAATTTGTTGCGTTATTCTGTGATTGTATCTAATGGTTGTTTGGACAACATATATATATATATATATATATATATATATATTTTGATAATGTTTCATTAGCAATTAACAAATATGGTAGTGTATATGGGGAATTGCGATGTTGAACCAATATCGTAACCTTGGCTTAAATTTAATTTACGTCCTTGATACATGAAACTATATATAATATGATATATAAATATAAAAATGTACACTAAAACGGCCAACGATGAAAGCAATCGATATTTAACATTTGCATATAGTGCATGTGCACCGCAAACTGTAAATGTATTAATCGCCTATATACGATATTTACAATAATCAGAACTATATGTGTAACTCGCCTTTAACTATATGCATCTTCGGTTTTGTTGAGTACGTGGGAAATTTGGAGTCCGTTGGGTCAAGTAGACGTGTTAGATGTCCTTGCATCTTTCGTGATAGAAAGTTAAAGTTTTCCAGGTAAAAAATGAAAATGTATGTGAGCTGTCTACAAAAAGGCAATTTTCGGCGAACCACTCACTCATCGAGTTGTTCTTGCAAAACTTTGCACGACCGAAGGCGTTGCTTAAAAAGGAGGTGCTCCATCGCTGCAGAAACGCGATAATCGGAAGTGCTCGGGCCTGGTGACACGAGCTGTATGCACTAGCACTTTGTAATCGTTAGCTTTCATCGCTATCTAAATCGATTTTGTAATATGACTGGATGGCCAGAGTGACATGTAAAAAAGTGTCGCTATCTTGATTTTTTTTAATATTATGGTCGTTCCTTTCAACAATCCAGATGCCTTCAAATCGATTAATTTTAACACACGAAACGCCAAACCCGAAATATGATTTTTTTGTTATAGCGGTTAAGTCTTGTGGTAGCTGAGTAAAATTTCGCGTCTCAGATTCTATGATGCAGAAATGTTTTGATAATAGTATCTCTCGGGACGTGTGAAATTGCACGCATTTAGTGATCGGTAGTTATATAATATATAACGATATTCTAAGTTTTCACGGTTAACAAAGTAAACAATGTGGCAGATTGACAAGAAGAGAAAATTAAACAAATTCGAAATTAAAAACCAAAACTCAGTCCAGTTACTAACAAGAGAGACTCAGGATTATCTAAAGTTTGCCACATATATACGCAACAATTACTGATTATTCGTGATCAGCGAGTAGAAAGTGATATTTGATTTTCTTCTATCCATCTCCCTATCTATCCGGTGTAATGATAAGCATAATCTTACAACTTCTTCTGAACCAAAAATTTGTACATGTCAACTCAATTAACTGAACATGAAAATATATCTTCTAATGGAGCTTGGCTTTTACTCTATTCTTTCACTATTTATTTCAGTAATGGTTTCCTTTATGTCTCTTGTATCTCGACTATTTCACGAAAAGTATCCTGCTAACATAATTATCGGTTTTTTAGTACGAAAATAAATGAAAAATTTCGTTGGGCAATGCGGTGCAGGGCAATTTTATATAGTCGATCTTACCCAATGATAAATGGTTTCACTTGTTTTTCCTTCTTGCACAGAGCGTACACTTGATCATAACCATCACTGATTAAGCGGATATTTAATTTTTTCAAACATTTACAGCACCTAGAACGAAGTTTCAGAAACCATATGTCCGTCTATTCTTGTCTGCAATATCTTTCGCACACATATTCTTCTACCTGGAAGATAGCAAAAGCATTGAGAGTACAACATAAGCCGAGAACATACATCTGCGTATCAAAGCAAAACAAACTGAGTTCTTTACTCATTACTTATGAGCTACGGCAAATGAAAGACTATAGTCCATCGATGATCCTACAGCTGCGGTGGAAAAGTGGAGAAACCGAAAACGCCCACCCAATATTATAGGATATTGAAATTTCATTATTTTTGTGATAAAGATAATGTGTGAGTGAGTGCGTGCGTGTGCGGAAATAAAAGATTCGGGCGCAGCTGAATATAGTTTTTTTGCTTGTTTAGTTTTTATGTTAGCAGGCCCTTCTATGGTTTACGAGTACATTCAGTTATGTGCCAAATATTATTTCAACCAGTATCAGTCGGACTATATATAGCTCAGCTCCCGCTCTCTGTGTGTGCGTGTCTCTCTCTCTCTCTCTCTCTCTCTCTCTCTCTTCGAGTACTACAAGCGAAAGCTTGGAATTTGGATGAGATGACAATTTTCGCTACATTTATATCAATTTTGTTTGAAGGTTCATGCGCTTAGAGTGAATTGATGAACAAGTCGGTATATGGATAGGTTTGTTGCCTTAAAAATATTTCTGTACGTTACTGGCAGTGTGGCACGCTTCCTATACTCAATCAACGTTTGGCTCAATAATTTTTTTTTTGGTTTGACGCAATTTAATGTTTATTGGTTGTTCAATATTTTTAGTCCATAGATCAAATTAATTAAATATCGTTTCTCGTTACCACTTGACATGTATCCGTTTAACGGATTCTGATTTTCTAAGTTTTTAATATATGATAAAAGTATTCTTTTATGTGTACAGAAAGATTGCTATAACGATTAACTACTTTTAGGATAAAACTAGTGATGAGTTAGAACGTAATAAAAGAAAATTGCCTGATGCCACATTTGAAGCAAAAAATGCTGTCTTGGGTTTTGTATTTGGTGTGAGTATTATTGATATTTATTTTTTCGTTTCGAATTCAAATTTATTATTAACGTTTTTGTCTTTTCCCTTTTTTTTTTTTTAATAATATTTTCATGCGTTATTTTCCTAGAAAATCGATAATCTCTTAGATACTAAGACTCGCGTTATTGAACAACTGGATCGCGCTAATATTGAGAAGAACAAACAGTATGATATTCCTAATCCAGTGCCAATACCAGATGTTCAGACATTGATAACGGCCGTTGTATCGCCGAAAATTCGCTCGTTGGGCAATATCGCTAATGATATAACAACTGGTGTATTAACTACGATAACCGCTTTCAGTGGCAGTTCTGGCGGCAGCGGCGGTAGCAATAACAATGCAGGTCTAGGCAATGTAGTATCAAAATTTTTAGGTTTCTCTGGACCCATACTGCAAGGCTCATCTGGCGGTGGGGCTGCTGCCGGTGGCAGCACACCTGCACCCGATTCCGACGAGGCTGGCTATTAAATTTTAACAAACTGATCGCATAGCAATTTTCCTTCATATTTCTAATGTCTGTGCAAATGGTTGAAGAGCAGTTTTTAGTTTTTGTCTTGTTGTATATAAAAAAAAAAAAAAAAATAATAAAAAAACTTTTTCTTAAAAATTAACCTTAAACAAATTAATTACATTTACAAAAAAGTGTATAGAATAAATGACTTTTTCGCTTTTTTTCTCTTACCTATATGTTCTCGAAGATTTCTTCTCTTTCACCCTAATTTTTCACATGCACAATAATCCATAAATAAAGTTTGTAAATATTATGCATTCATTTGTACATAAGCTATAGCATAAATTAAATTTTTATTTGTTTTATAATTGAGAAAAAAATATATATATATATTTTTCGGAATTGTTTCTTATACATACATATATTAAATAAATTTGATAAAATTTTTTTAACATTTCAAAGAAATTTTTAATTCTTCATTTAGTGTTTGTTGATTTATAAAAAAAAAAAAAACTAAACAGTGTGATCCTCTGCTTCGACATACATATATATATCGATTTTTTACCGGTGTATTATTGTTTCCTACTATTATTAACATTTTCTCCCGCTTCAACGCAGTGCACGCTTGCATAAATCTTAAATGTTGCAGCATTTTGCAAATTCATATATGATAATCCGCCCGTCTTGGAAGTATGCTGATTCGGTCACACATATCTCGATATATGTATGGGTGGTATGGTCTTTCACAAAAATTCATTCAATTTATTCTGCCATACAATGATGATTTCTCACTAATTGAAAATTTCTCTTGCTCTCTTTTATCGCTTTTTATCTTAATTAAACAGTCACGTTGTAATATATCGTTATTGTTATTATTAATTTAGGCGGAGTAATAAATCCTAAGATTAAACTGTTAAAGCACTAGCATATGGGGCTATCCGCTCTCTTGTAAACTCTACCGCAGCTGAGATTTGATCCCAAGGACCAATGAGTTGATAGATCATTTGCTTACTCAATTAGTCAGGCGGACTAGTTATCATATAGACAAGCGTTCAACATTGACAACGTAGGGTGAAATTTCTTCTGGAAGATCGACAAACAAATTTAGTGTAGATGTGGTTTTTGAATTCATAAACATAATTTTACTCTGCTTTAAATTATGATGAAAATGTTCTAATGGTATTTGCGTCTTGTACGATATCGAACTACAAATTTTCTAATCGTTAAAGCAATGAAAGTTAAGCGTCAGAAAATTTTTTGCCTTGATGCTATACAAAGCTGATCTTCAGCCCAATCAGTTCATCTCCTAAAAACTTTTAAGACAAACAACTGAAATTGTACGAAATCTTCGCAACGCTTGTAACTTGTAACTATTTCTTCTTGTTTTCGTTATTTAATGCTACATAAGTATGTTTTCACAATTATGATAGCTTGCCTTTTTCTGTTATAAATGCGTATTATGTAATATATGATATAACATATAATATAATATAAACAATTACAATAAGTACTGAAATGTTATATGCAATGCAGACCTGATGATGACTGCCAAGGCAGATTATCTTGCTTGAGGTCACCATTCAGTTTACTAAGCCTGTAGTGACTATGTGTTTTAATATATCCCGATTAAGAGTAGAGAGCGAGCAAAAGGATTGCTATGCCTTATGGCTTTGTTAAAATATCTAATGGCACTTTGTTTAATTACATCTGTTGTGACCGGAATATTACATTGTCTCTAAATGTTTGATTTAGTTATGTACTATGGAGACCTTATTGTGAATTCGATTCCAACAGCCGTAGACCATAATTCTTTCGTGTCCAGTTCTATTCAAGTTAACTTTGCACTTATATAGAGAGTCCATTTGAAGCGGGGATATAAGTGGATTCCCAAGTATAGTTGTAGTTTACTCTCTGAGCCGAATATCTCCTTAAAACGATGTTTCGCTAAACTAACAGCGTTAAGCTAAATTTTATTTACCGCAAACGAAAACTAAACGCAACAAGATACGAATTCTTTCCAACCTTATAATTCTATTTAGAAGCAAGTATAAATGCGGCTAAATGTTTTAGTCTTGCATATCACGTTACGCTTATAGTGTTCCAAGCATACAATGGAAACAAGTAAGAGAAAATCTTGCATATTTTTTCAAGTATTTCTTTGCATTAATTGACCCATTGAACCTGATTATACCGAACTTTATAGGCGCTCTGATAAACGCTTGCATTAAGCTTTAGGCAATGTTTTACTATAGATGGTAATTAGTTAATCAGTTTTTTTGTTAGCATATTTGCAGGTGAATATTGCCGGTTTGTAGGCATGATCGATTGAAGCTCTATTTTAACTCTAATTTTACCAATATAAGCCTTTGAAGCTCATTTGCATTTCTAAAAAATGTATGGCCTGCGTATACTATCTTATTATTATATATAGCTTGTCGGGATATACAAATCAATTTACCCCTAAACAATATAAATGGGCTTTTAATTATTGCCACCATTCTGAAAGGTGGCTGCTGAAAGTAACTTTAAGATATGATGGCTAAGGTTAAGTTTGGGAGTTCGAACAAGGCATAAAAAAAAAAAAGACTGAGGGATTTACTTTGGATAAGAATACATATCTGTACAGCTTATAGTATGTCTTAGTATGTAAAGTCGTGCGAAGGCTTATCGCTTTGGTCTTAGAATTTTATAAAGAAAATTTCATAGAATGCAAGAAATATATAATAAAAGACAATTTTTGTGGATTTTTCGGGCCTTTGCAGCTCAATATCAAGCAATAGAAAATGATTTAACCAAGACATTTATAATAAAATATTTTCCGTTTATTTGAAATAAAATTTCTTTTTCCAACGTTTTCGCAATTTCGCCTAATTTAATCTTCATGTAATTTCAGTTTCAAATCGCCCCTGAAAGAATTAAACGAGCCGTTAATAAAGAAAAAACCTATCCAGACGATACTCCCGAATTCGATCGGTCTGCTGTATCGTTAGACTTTCCGGATGAACTTTTTAGTACAGCTTTTCAAACTTTAACGAATGTCTCGAAAGTTGCATCTCGTCTTATAATGGTAAGTGTATGCAATTTTAAACCTCGCGGTAAAAGCAAGCATACGGCATTCAATAAAGCAATGTAAAGTTGTTTGGCTTTAAAAACTCTTTACCATATTAACGTATTTATGTTTATATTTGCAGAACTCTGCGAGACGTTATTCGCGTTTTGTTTTATTTTTCAAACCAGTTTTTGGCGATGCTTTAGTAGTTAAAGGGTTTGAAGATCCTACTACGACCACAACAACGACAACAACCACTACTACACCACGTGCTTTAACGATGGATATGGATAGTCTTAACGAAATTTAAATATTATTTATCTCTATAATTAGGAATTTGTTAAGCATTCTATTATATAAGATTGTTGAGAGCTTTTACATTAAAAATTCAATATAATTTTATTGAAATTTATTTCCTTTGTTCGTAGCCCCTACAATTTCCGCCACCTATAGTACTCCTATCATTGTGTACTTATTCCTATTACTTTATACTCTACTTCACTCGCATTGTAGAGTACATTATGTTTGCGCGAATGCATAGATGCACCAACAACGATTTGAGATAATCTCTTCTTTTCTTCTCCTGTCTGTCTGATGCAATTTCATGTATTCTTATGGTGAATTGTTTTGCAATTTTTGAGATACATTAATATCGTATGTGATGCATTGATGTGCTTTGGCGCAACCACGACGCCTGTTAAGTATGAATTGAATCAGGTCGTGAACTGCAGTGTGGAAAATTTGTTATACAAAAGCAAGTAAGAAAATTATATTCGGTGGTGATCGAATTTTTTGTACCCATTACCGGAAAGCAAAGGTGTTCACAGCTTTTCTTATATATAATCTGCGCTCAATAGCTTGCAATGTTTTCGCCAAAAATTTCAAGTGAATACATTTTTGTGGCCAGTAGAACGTTTACAAAAGGCATTACACACAGACGCGCATGCTTAAATCGTTTCAGAATTTGATGCAGATCAAAAATATATATGCTTTATAGGGTCTTTGAAGCTTCATTTTGGGCTTGGCAAACGTTTTGACAAAGCGAATACACGAATAAATAGAAATTTTAAGAATTTCGCTTTTAAGCTCATTTCATTGGAGCTTTTTTACATAGCGGCTGGTTAATAACATAAAGCTTAGCTGCTGTTAGTCTCACTTACCGGTGTTTCATATAGACAACATAGAGCTTATTTATTAATAAATACTTTTATATAGTTTTGTTTATTTAAATAATTTTTAAAAAAAAAAAAAAGTTAAGGAATTTATTGAATATCTTAAGACTATAAAAATTATAATAGAAATCGTGAGCTAATAGATTTATGGCTATAACTCACACATATGAAGAGTTGAGATAGGTATGATCCGTTTATCGGGACATCTAACATAATGTTTTTGTACGGCGTTGTAGGCAGACATTAGTAAATACACAAAAGTAGTGAATTTGGTCTTGCTAAGTAAAGTGGAAATTTTGATAAAAAATAAAGAAGAAAGAGGAATTTTTCCACAGAGCTATTTGATTAATTTTTAAGGAAAGGAAAGTCAATAGAATAGTAGTATTCGATAAAGTCAGCTATAGTAATAAAATATACGAATATTCTTATGTTTACAGTAAATTTGATTCTTCGATGCATAAGAGTAGGATGATCGTGGACACGAACCAAGTATTTAGAGCCGGATTTTGAACACAAGCCAAAAACAATTGTCATGAGAGATTTGCCAGCACAAAGAGAAATTATTCTTCAAATTATTAAAAAATGACAACACTGGTCGTTTCTCGTGAGGCATGTTAGTAGTCAACTCTGGAATTTGGGGGCAAGCAGCGTACTGGTCTAAATTTCAATTTAAAGCGAATCTCAATGCCTATAGCTAGAGAAGTACACATGATTTTTTTCAAATATTGATCTTTAGTTAATTGGCGCCTCTTTGAAAAAATAAAGTTCTATTTTCGATCAAAAAGAGTTTCTCTTCTATTAGTAAAAAAAAAACCTTTAATCTAACTTATCGAAAATGTTCCACGTATATCTCTTTGAAATGTAGTGTTAAAGCTATTGTCAAAAATTCCAATGAAAAAAATGAAAGTTGTTGGAGTGATGTTGCTTATTGTTTTCAAAAATCGTGTTTCGAGAGTATATGTTCAATTTCTTCATATATGTTATAAGTGTTTTTCTATTTTTTCTATTAGATTACAGTTCCATGACCGTGAAACTGTCTTTGTATGCTCATCTATTCGAATTGATTACCTGTGCTCAAAAGAGCCGCTTTTGCTGATTCTTTCTAGGGCATGTGTTGAAGAGAGAATTGCACGGTTCTGTGGCGAAATGACACACAAAACGCGAAAGATTCTGTAATTCGTAAAAAAATCTGTATTCATAATCAACATCAAGCACTTCACCCCAAGCTCAAACCCACATATCCATTTACCAGTTAGTCGTCTCTATAACGCTACACTTATATATTGACGTTTGGAAACGCTTTTAGGCTTTTGTTGAAGATATTTTGATTATGTGTCTTTTATAGTTTGCGAATAAAGAACAAACAACCCAGAAATTCAGATATTCTCAGTTTATATTGCATTCTAAACGTGTCCTTCGGCCGATTTGGTCCATTTTTTATTGCGACCTGTTCGCAAATTTGAAGCAAATAACTTGATATTTGCAGCGAGTAAAACGTGTATCATCGATCAACATGACACAGCAGACATGCTTACGATGTTTCAGAATCAGATGCTGACCACGAATACATATGTATTTTTACGGTGTTTCTTAAAGTGAATGTACGTCTATCCTTGGTGGAGTTTGCATTGAAGGAAGAGTAAGTTACTTACACTAATTACAAAAAAAAAAAGCAAGGAAAAGCGTTATAATTAAGGACCATCACTACGCTTAATACAGTTATTCTTATAACGATGCTTCAAAATAAGATTTTATATGAGAAGTGATTGAAAAATTGGTCCGATCCAAGTCCCTTTCAATAGTACTCGTCCTTGCATTGTTATATCAAATTTCGCCAAAATATTTCAAAAATTGCGTCCTACAGGTTGAAGGCAAGAATACATCGCGGACAGACGGTCAGAGTAATTTAGAAAGAGATTCTCAAGTGCATCCATTTCAAGTTGTTCATGGTGTTGAGCAAGTCAACATAAACTTAATATATCCTCATACCACGAATGGTGCAAGGTATAAAAAGAAAGAAAAGAAAGCCATACGACCAACGATATAATAGTATTGTACATAGCACATATTGATATACATATTCGTGGAGAAAATCTTTAGCGAGACACATGTGAATGGTAAACACTGTAAAACGCGATAATAGAAAAGGACAGCGCGATTGCTGAGGCAAGTAACGAATCAACCGAAAAAACTGAAAACAGGCTTTAGATGATAGATCAACTTTTATAGATTTTCATACGAACTTTTGTTTCGTAGAACTAACGCTGAAATCATTTATGAAATGTAAAATTTATTGATTTTTACATAAATTAGCATAATTTTTCTACTATAATAGTTAATAAATGTTTACATTTTTTAAATTGTTGAAACTTATATTAATTAGTTAAATATATATGATTTTGTGCTTATTTTTGCACCTGGTATGGAAGGATGGCGTTCACTAACTGCGTCAAACCATTTGCACCACCCAGAAGAAAATATTAGGGACTTCGCATAGCATGATCTAATATATATATATATATATACTCGTATGCTTGTATATTTGTGTATATATATGTACACATATATACATACATATATATATATATATATATGTATATATTTGATCAGTGTCAATTCAGGCATGTGTTTGTCTGTCTGTCCATCTGCCCGTCTTTCCATTTGTGCAATCTCCATGATAAACTCACTCCCGTTCGAAAAAATTAATAAATTTATATTAAGTTTGACATTGGAATTTCCTGCGTGTACCTTGATCTTAAAAATGCCCCGAATCGGTCAAAGGATACGCCCAAATTACAAGAAAATTTCTGCTTCTTGGTTTTCTTGTTCACTACTCATAAATTAGAAAAGATATACAATTCCGCGTGTTTTCTACAAAACTGGCAAAATTCCGCCATACTCACCTACTGTTGCAGAATGGTGTGTATAATGGTTTCCGTCATAGCCGAATTTAATTTCCTTATTGGCTACTATTTATTTGGAAAAACATTAAATTTTACAATAATGATGAAATTATTTTATAAGAAGGTTAAAGAAGCAACAGACAGAGCAGCTTCAGCGTTACATACGTATATATGTAATATCTATATATATATACATGTAATATATATATATATGTAATATATATATATGTAAGCGCAACATCACCCCATGTCGAACGAAATGACTTTTATTCACTGCGTACGTCTTTTGGCATGCGTTAGTAATATTAGGCGATATTGCGCGAGCTTGTTTTGTATAATTGCAACTTTATCTTTAGTGAGATTTCGCTCGGAAATTTAATACAAACAGTTAGCAGGGTTGTCATGGGCGCTTACGATTAATCGAAATTACTTAGAGAGGTAATTAGGAGGCATCCTTAACTCATTAGAATAAAAATGCAATTTGCTTACTTTTTCCTTTATGTAACAGAGCGACCAATGGCCGTGTGTTACGTTGAATGTAACACAAAAAAAAAAAAAACTTAAATGATCTCCTTGTTTCGTTTCTTTTTTCCGTATATAATAACAAATTTGGTTTTGAGACCAAATTAGAAAACTGTCTATCGTAAAAAAACATTTTGATATACAGCGCTGACGCGGATCCCAATTTCAAATTTTTGATAATCTAAGAATAAAGAGCCAAATGTTCCGTTGTGTCTTTACGAACACTCCCAATACCTTTTGATCGCAATTGTTAATTTGAAATGTATACTCTGTATATATATATAAATATATTTAATCAAGAAAAGTATTTATACACACACACACACACACACACACGCAAGCGTACAAAAGTATACAACCTGGGGAGAGTTAATGTGGATTATGCATAAACACATATAGAAGTTCAAGTGGACACATAATTAAAGTAATACTTGTATAATTTGTAAGCCGTCTGTCTCTATGCTACTAATGAATGCCTAAAAAACGTTACCGTAATTATTACATTTGTTTGGGTAAACTATCAATTTCGAAATATGGGTTTTCGAGAAAGATTAAATATGGATATCTTTCCATTAGTTTCATTATTGGTCCGTATCAAATTTGAACCGTTGTAGACATGTTTCTCACTTTATGTGCTCATCTGTCCGTTAATTGTTGCGTGAAACGGACCAGTGGCAGCGAAGATGAAGATATCGGCTTTAGACATACGGTAA